CATATTTTATGGTACGATGTGGTCTGTCTGGTTGGTATATAAACCCAGTAAACTTGAAATAAATGATTCATATTGCAGAGGCTGAGATTGGTGTTCTGAACTTAACTGGCTGGGCTAGGCGGAAAGCAGGACCGATAAGGACTCGAGACTGCTCGTACTTGGTTTTATGCGTCACTGGTCCGATCGATAATTCACTGCTCTCTGATTGGCGGTATCGTTAAGTTATACAATAAACAGGGCACACAGGTCAAAAGTTATAAAAATTGGCGACGGGGTAATTGGACGAAATTCAGTCAAATTATTTCGAGCAATCAGCATCCAGATTTGTCATCGGTGTCCTTGGAAGACATTGATTGTTAATTCGTCATACAGTATTTTTTCATTACCATGCTGGTTCAGAAAATGGCTATCTCTTCCGATCAATTACAGTTGCTATTTGAGCGACAGCAGCAGCGTTTCAAAAAGAGCCAGTTGAACGTTTTAGACAACTTACGGACACGGTTGCTAACTCACCTATGCCACAAGTTGTAACAACTCCAAAGTTTTAGAAGTTATTGGTCCACGATTAAATAATGTTCTGAGAAGAAAGACTTACATGGGGCCACTGGGTGGTTACAGCCTGTCCCAATCCCCGGAAAAGGAGGAGGGTATGCAATAAAACCCCATAAAACGAACCCGGCTACCAAAACACTAATCAGAGGAGGCCAGTTAAACTCAGCACTGGGAGTTAAGAGTTTTTGCATGTAGTGTTTATGACTCCTCATGATGAAGGCTGGATCGTTCGGGAGCCAAAAGTCGACACTCTGTTGTCGATTAGAGTAACAATAAACATCGGGACGCGGAATGTCCGAACGATATGGGGAACCGCTAGTGTCCTACAAATGTAAAGATACAACCAGATTGCACTTGCAATACGTGAAACCTATTGAACACAACGTGTCAGAAATACTAACTTCAACAGTGCTGCTATTGTATTCTGGTCATAAAGAAGAAAATCCGTCACATTCACACAGATTTTGTGCAAAAGTCACTTATAAGATGAAGAACCCATGGCCCTGAGATCATTACAGCATTATCCAGAAGGAAGGGATTACAATGAAAGTTACTGAATGCTACTCACACACCGACGAAAGAACGGAATGCGATAAAGTTTCGTAAGAGGCTGTAGTCCCAGGAAAAGATATAATCGTGATGGGGTACCAAAGTGCAAAGGTTGGGATGGACAACACCGGCTGTAATTGCGTCGCGGGGCGACATAGACTGGCAGAAAGAAACGAGATGGTATGAGACTACAAAATCGCTGTATTTCGACATGGTAATCCAATAAGAACTAGACTGATAAGAAAGTCATTCGATGACAATCGGTAGGGATCTGAAGGTCAAGTGCATCTAATTGGCTAAGAAGTGGATTAATTTTAAGGGATAGAGTGGCGAGACTATAATTTATAGACTAACCAATCAGATATAAGATAACGAGTCACGAATTCGGGCGCGGAATTCATTCATACATTTGGCTAAATAGAGTTTTGGTATTCTAGCTCATGTCAATTCGTGATGAAAACCCTAAATCTAATTTTTAACCCTAACAACCAACTATAAATGAGGATTCTTACTGTTTTATAACCCTCATTTAGTCCTAATTAGTAATTGTTCACTCTCAAGGTCACTTTAGCGTCGCTCAAAGGTCGTCTATAAATTATAGTTGTTTATACATAAATGAGTATTTAAGCATTTTATTCGGTAGGCCAAGATAATTTCTCACTCACTCGTCTATTCCTGCTCAAATCATTTGGAGGGTTAGCGTCTAGTATATGTATCAGTATCAAATTCTGAACATCGCCCGTCACAACAGCTTCTGACGACGTTATTTTTGCCAGACTCACGTGAAAGTCAATTTCAGGTGATCATCTTAAGACAATTTTACAGCAGCATCACAATTTAAAATGACCTAAATGATAACATAAAAGTTTTCAGTTTAAGATAACGCAGCACAAATTCCCGAAGTAGGTGGCTCAACTACCGAATCACAGGTCAATTCAATGGGCGGGTTTCATTTTGATGCTGAGGCTGGTATTACATGTGAATCATGGTTCACTATGTATGAAGACATTTTCCAAGTTGAGTTTTCTCACCATGATGACTTTTCGAAGGTGAGAATTCTATTACGTAAGCATGAAGCAGCTGAACATGAAAATTAATCGACCTCTATCTCACCGAAAAACCCAACGATCTTTCTTTTGATTCTATCGTACAGAAATCTTTACTAATCAGACTTCTCTATTTAATTTGCGATATAATTGTTTTAGAACAGTTAAGAGACATGAAAAATATTTTGTCTCATATTCAGCATCTGTTAATAAACGATGCGAAAGTTTTAGGTTGCATTCTCTTTCGGACAAAAAATTCAAGGGTCTTATCTTTGTATGTGGGTTGCAGGCATCGTCAGACTCAGATATTCATAATGGAACTTTAAGCGCAATCACTTCAGATCCCCCTATTACGCTAAAAGGTGTTACAAATGAATGTCGTCATATTATTAATCTTAATAATGAGACTAAAATAACCGAACGTCCAGATCCCAATTCATTTGATTTGATAAGTTTCTCATACAGATCGCACTAGTTGTGTCGAGAAACATGATTCGCAAAATTTTCCTCGCCCGAATCGAACGTATAATGCCCATGACTCTAATTCACGTCGCTCTACAAGGCCTCCCACTAGTTGTTGAAACTGTAGCATGGCAATTCTCCCGTTTCTGTCCATTTAGTAGACATAATTGCGCAAAATGTTGAGTAACGGGCCATAAGAAGGGAACTAGCAAATGCAGTAAATCCTCAACCCATTGTCGAATACCAAAAGGGATCAGTTGTGTACATACACTGTCGAAATCTAATCTCCAATACTTACGCAAGTATTTACCCATTAATGTTAATGATCGTATTATCACTTTGCAGTTGAACACTGCATCTGATGTCACTTTAATTTCTGGTAAACTTAGCAGGATCATGGTCGGCCAAGCATTCATCCTACTACCGATTGCTTAAAGAATGCATCGAGCATCCCAATTATAATTACCGGAATTATCAAGTGTATTGTTAAATTTATTGATCAAATAATTAGATCCAAGTGCTATGTTACTGAACTAAAAATGTTCGGACAGCCATTTAATTTAATTTGTAATCGAGCACCTCATTCAACTCTCCAACAATCTTCCAATACTCTTCAAAATTATCTTGGTCACCGTACGAAGGCAAAAACTAAAGTGTATTCAAAACCAAATGTAAAACTTTAGGTTCGTTAGCAAGAAACCATCAGCAATAATCTTCTCTGGGAGAGAATAGACCAGTTGTCACACGAAGAGAAAATTAAGAAAACCTGATGGCGGTGTAAAAGACAAATTTTACGGAAACCATCAAATCAAATCTTAAGACAAAGCCTAACTTAAACGCCGAAGGTAGAAGGAAAAGAGGCAGATCAAAGAACACTTTGTACTGGGAATTTGAGTCAGACATGAAAACCATGATTAGCAGTTGAGAACAAGTGGAAAGAAGACCCCTGGAAGGTGTTATTCGGATACCTATGGTTGACGGCCCATATCCTGTTAGGGGTAGCAGGGTTAATTGGTAGACTAACAGATAAAAAGTGCTGCTGAAGTTTGAGGTAAATAAAGTTAAAGACATATCAGCAATACAAGTGTTACCTTTTTAACGATTTCATTCAATATCTTTCATGCAGCTTCGTCTAGCTCTTCCGGAATAAATATATTAGATTCTATAAAAAAAATTGAATGTGTATATTAATTACATTTAGTGCTATTGAATTTACCAGTAGGATTGGAAATTTATTTTGCAGAGCTATTTATCTGGGCAGCACCATTGATAAACCCAGTGGATCTGATGTAGATGTGAAGGTGCGGATCGGCAAAGCAAGAGCAGCATATCTATAATTGTAACTATAACATGTAGAACTCAAAACAACTCTCAACCAACACCGAAGTCAGAATTTTCAATACAAATGTCAAAACAGTTCTACTGTATTGGGCGGAAGCTTGGAGATCTACGAAGATCCGGAAGATACAAGTGTTCACTAACAATTGTCTAGGCAAAATACTTCGAATCCGTTGGCCAGACACCATCAACAATAATCTACTGTGGGAGAACAAACCAGATTCCAACGGATGAAGAAATCAGGGAGAAGCGCTGGAAGTGGATAGGACAGATATTGGGGAAAGCACCGGACTGCGTCTCAAGGCAAGACCTCAACTAGAATCCCCAAAACCAAAGAACGAATAGCGCCAAGAAATGGATACAGATATGAGAATGGACAAAATTTGAATAGAACTAGGAAGGAAGGCCCAAAACAGAGTGGGTTGAGGAAGGCTGGTCGGCGACATATGCTCCACTGGGAGTAACAGGCGCAAGTTTTCAAACAACTTCGGAACTGTTTTTCTGTTCCTAAAGTTAATATAGACTGGTAATACATAGTGGAAGTACCCCGTGAGATGCCTCATGAAAATCAAGTGGATGTAACTCAGTAACCGAGTAGAAGTTGATATAATCGTCTATCAACCGAACATTTTGTCCGAGTTAATGATAATATCCGACCTTCCTAACTAAATCAGGTGAAGAAAAGATTGAGCCCGCGAGATTATGTCTGAAAGTTGATCCCTTTGACCGCTACATCATTACTCCAATTGCGAAGTATCTATTTAATTTACACATTCCATCATTAAGGCATAGTAATAAGTATAAGTGACAATTTGCATTAAGCAATTATCTGACATTACATCAGTTAAAGAAATAATCTAGGTACTGTGAAAACATTTCAAAATAATAGCTGCCTCAAAGGTATCGGCTAAATAGTTTGAGGAATTCTTCCATGGATAATATAATTAAGGCCAATTTACAAAGCTAGTAACACAAACAGGAAGAGGTAGTAACCATAAAAGTTTTACAAAACAACAATCACATTAATATGTAGCATTTTTATTTAACATTATTTTAAGACATATTTATAGCACACGCAACCGAATTCCAAAATTCTGCTGCAGAATTGTTCTTTTTTGCTAATCGGTTAATTTGCGATAACAGGAGGGGATTTAAATGATCAACGAAAATAATTCGTTTAAATAGATTAATTAATAAGTTCATTATCAGTGTGCACTGATTATTTTCCTCTGACCCAACTTTTTCGAACTATTTTTCAGATTCAAAAAATGAAGAAAATGAGGCGAATTTTATTTCGTTAATTGAACATACAAAAAACAAATGAAAAAATGAACAATGGGCACATATAAGCGAAGACCAATTTTATACATAGCTGAATGACCGAGATTAATTCTAACATTCCTTAGAAATGATAATCTCGAAATGTTTAGGAGAGGCATACGGTATATTGTTTCTCCTACGACAAAAGTACACAACTACATACTACGGATTATATGCATATATATCTACTGTGAGTGGTGAAATTGATTAACGTGATGCACTATCCAAAGTCTAATTTGAAAAAATTATACGCGAGCGCTTACTTGTCAGCGTCTTACTGGACGTAGGAAGGACGCTGCAAGTAAACCTTTTAGGTCCCTACATAATGATAATCAAGCTAAGAGTATATTTCAGGAACAACTAGAAATACAGTTAGGCAGCCATTTATGTGACGTCCACCCCGAGGCAGCATGGAATGACATCCGAAAAGCTGTGAAAACAGCAGTGATATCTGCTAGTACGGTAAACCACAAGGTTAGGGAGAAACACTGGATCTCAGCAGCATCTATCGCACTGATAGATGCTCGAAAACTCATCCCATCTGGATCTGAACATAACGAAGAGCGGAGTCAGCCTAGGCGCAAGACGATAAGAAGCCTACACAATGATCACGAACAGTGGTGGGTAGTGAAAGCAAGAGCGGGGGAAAAGACAGCGGCAATTGTTAACAGCAGACAACTGTTCAAAACTTGTCAAGGAAACCGGTATTAGAAACCGAATGTTGGTGAAACAATCTCAGAGAAAGATGGACAAATTAAACATTCTCAATCCAGGAGATTGGATCGATGGGTGGAACACTTTAGGGACCAGTTCAACTGGCCTTCAGTCACACTTCGGTTTACCGCGATCTCCAGTCGATCTAAATGGCAAGTTAATGTAGTTCCTCCGAATCTTTATGAAGTTGAAAAAGCTATAGGAAATTCGAAGCGAGGGAGAGCAGCAGACCCTAACAGACTTACCCCTGAGATTTTTAAGGATGGTAGTCCAGTATTAGCAGTAAGATTAACTGAAGTTTTAGGTGGAATTCGGGAACTGGACGAAATCCTATCTGCCTGGTCTCAATCACTGATTGTGCAAGTCTATAAGAAAGGGCAAAAGTCCTCTTGTAACAATCATAGAGGAATCAGTTTGACAAATATGGTGTTTAAGATATTAGCTTCAATAATACTTCGACGCCTAACTAAAGCTCGAGAAGAGCAGACTAGAGGAAACCATGCTGTTTTTCGACCTGGACGTGGTTGCATAGACCAGATATTCACACTACGTCAGGTCATAGAACATAGACACATATTCAGACACTTCCCAATCGTAGTATTTCTCAACCTTAAGGAGGCATTTGACTCTGTTGATCGTGAGGTTCTATGGCAGTGTTTGTCATTGAAAGGAGTACCAAAGAAGTACATTAACCTTGTAAAGGCTCTCTACAAGAACACAATTGGTCGAGTGAGAGCTTATGGCGAACTGTCATCAGAATTGATTACCTCAAGTGGTGATTGTCAGGGCTGTCCACTCTCTTCACTCTTGTTTAAATTTGTCGTTGACGTGCTTTTAGAGATAATACTTTCCTCATCTAAATTTCCAAGGGTTGAACTTCTACCGGGAGATTCACATTTTGACTTAGAATATGCCGATGAAATAGTTCTTTGTGTCCCTTTTCTTTCTCTTTCCAAATTTATTTCATTGAATTATACTACTTGAATAACAACTTCAAACCATAATATTTCCGTTTACTGGTTATACTTGTACTACCTCTACTACTACGGGATTTGAATCGACAACTGCATCTCTGTGCTAATGTGGTATGGCAACTCGAACTGATGTACGTACGTACAAAGTTCTATGTTGTTAACTGACTGGCTGATACACTGTCATATTACTTGAACATCGAAATCGAGGGCTAGGATCCTAACGAATAACGAATTTAGAAGCAATACGACTAAAATCCAATAAAAACAACCTTGGATATTTAGAAAAACGTGATATAGTGTAATTTTAAGTTAATATATGGACAGTATATACTTATCCCTACAATCCAATGAGCTACTTCATTACACCACACTATGTGTTCGTGACTTCGTGATATATATACGGCCTAAACATGTGGCAACTAATTAACTCATTCACGATGTGTTTGGAAAATTCCACGTTTTATTGTTGGGAAAATGGAGGTCATGTATGACAGTGAATTAAAACTACGTTAAAGTAGTAAAAAAACAATCACATTTAGACATCGAACAAGTGGACCGTGTTTTGCTCACTCGTATATGTTCAGTTTCATCAAACAGCTTTAATATGACTCTTCCAAAATCAGGAATATGTATGGCCAAATCACGTAAATGATCAGGATTGTATGAAGCCAGAGAAATATAACTGAGAATGCATAAAATAAACATAAATATATAAACGATCAACTAAGAGTTGGTGATTTGTATGTAATTCACAAAGAATAACATCACATAACTTTCTAGATTGGAATAAAGTTTGAATTTACTACCCGAATACTGAAAGTTTGGTATAAACCTGCTACAAACAATTCAGTAAAATATTTGAAATATACACTTAAGAAACTGAGAAATGATTACACTACAATTAAAAATAATTTATTAACTAGCTTATTCAATGTTTAGTAATTCTTCTCTGTGAAAACTTAAAACTCCCACTATATAGCTAGAACTATTATTCAACAATGTGATAACACATGGATCATTCACAGATAATGTCCACCATTACATTTAAGCACGCAGTATTTTTGAAACATACATAACAGTCTTAGTAAGAAACTAATAACCAAAATAAACTTAATAGTAAAGCAGTATATATATACACTTATGTTCACACAGCTTCTTATGAATGTATGCCATGATCCCTAGTGCATGAAATACTTTTGAGGCCACGATAATCGCGAGAGCCAACATTAACCACCATCTATATCACACCCCTTTTGATCAGTTGCTATTGTAATACACAAAACAACTTGGAAGATGATGTTTAAGTAAATGATGCACGTGATATAACATTACGATCACGAAGAAGTATTGAGGCAATTGGTTTGCAATTCCAAAACAATTAAAGGTTTGAATTAAAGAGGAAGAATGTATTTGTAAAATCTCAGCGAAAGAATTTGGAGTAAATCCAACGTTTCACCTGGCAATCTGGTCCAAGCTTTTTCAAGGAAAATATAATCAAACAACAAAATCATCGAATATAAATAGGTACATGGTTCTCTGGTTTACTGTATACTGGATACGTCATCCAATCAAAGTGATTTATGGAACATTAAAATAACACAAACTTTCAATTACAAATACATTCCTCTTCGAATTTAGTCTTTTATCTTGTTTATTTATCTTCATTTAATGCATGCTGTGACATTTTTGGTTCATATTATATATAAAATGATATGTTTTTCTTAATAGACACAGATTGAAGACAATATATAGTTGAATGAAATTTCTTCTCACGTATACACATCACTCTGTTATCTGAACACTTTTCGTTTCACACCACATGTCTCTTACACACTAATGTAAATAGCTACTTCAAACGGTGTTCACGTTGATAGGATAATGTATCCAGTATACAGTAAACCAGAGAACCATGTACCTATTTATATTCGATGATTTTGTTGTTTGATTATATTTTCCTTGAAAAAGCTTGGACCAGATTGCCAGGTGAAACGTTGGATTTACGCAAAATTCTTTCACTGAGATTTTACAAATACATTCTTCCTCTTTAATGTCTCACATTAATTCGGCGCCCAAATATTGTGAAACTATTCGTTCAAATTTAGACGAAAGTTCCTATTAATTAAAGGTTTGCTTTAATATAAACACATCAGACAAAACATCTTAATTACGATAAAAACCAGTGAATCCAAATATTAGCGACAAACTAATGATTAGAAACGTGTCAAAGATCGTATAATAAGCCTTGCAGTTTAGGACGCACAATTGAAATGATGAGAAATTAATGTCGCCAAGGTTAAAGAAAAGCGAAAATGAAAGCTAACGGACAAAAAGATTTAGTGCATTTTAACTGATAGGGTAAAAAAGCTAACGAGAAAGGAAACGGAGTATTTCTGGGCTGATAAAGACTTCTACTCGCAAACAAAAGTCAGGTTTACATAAGCAAATGGTTCGACGTCTTGGCAAACGCTAATAACACATTTGTCCATTAAAGAGGATCTACCGATGTAAAAGGAAAACTAAAAATCTTTATCGAAACATCCGTAATACAATAAGATGATTTAGCACGCGTAACTGTTTCGACTGTACACAAACCCCTCGAAAACGAATTCAGCCTAGTAAAAATATTCGTCTGTCTAGTTAAAAGTAACTTTCACAATATACGAACAAATGTTGTTAGCCATGTGGTTGAACTATATACAATGAAGTAAAGTTTGGTAACCAGAAAACCTTATTATTCAAATATTAGAATGCATCACAACTACAGACTTTAGTCCTTGGCTAAAAGAAAACTGTACTGCCAGAAAGAACTTACGCCTCGTGATCTTTTTGGATCGCAACAATTAACCAATGAATAATAATAGTACGTAAATCATCTGGCTTGTCACATTGTTCCGACTGTTCTAGTAGACGAATAAGTAAATGTATGGTGTAACTATTATCCAATGCGAAACATGAATCTAAATATTTTTCTGTCTCACTAAATGTCTTTATTGAAGAGATATGTGAACCAAATAAACGGGATTCAATAATCAGCAACAAGTCATTCGGTATAAAGTGTAGTTCCGGATAGTACCTATTAAATTGGGGTAACTAGGTAAATAATATTTCATCATGGCTTGGCAGACATACTTTGCGATTGGTATCTAAGCAATACTCAAAGATACAGTCCCGATTTGTTTGTGAAAGGTACGGATTGCTACAAAGACTCTGGAAAGCAAAACAAAGTTATGGATAGGCATGATATGCACATAATTGACACTTAGTCAAAGTAGTATAAGTTATAAGTTTATTGACCAGTCATTCGGATGCAATCCCTAAGGTAACAGTGGGCATTTAATAACTCTACGCATTACCTCTCAAAACTGACCCCAATTGATGAAGATGTACACTATTATTTCAAATATGAGACATTTCAAATCAGTTAGCTATGTTTCTTTTATGTACCTTGTATACTATATCTGAACTACAATGGTGCACCACTACAGATTACATAGCATTCAATGAACCAACATAATTCCGACCCAGTTCTCTTAGTTTCGTAGGTTAATCGTCTGGTTAATGGTTTTAGATTATTGAAAGCTAAAAGTATATAATTCTTTCTAAATAGATTCGCGAAAACAATAAAGTTACTTAACACTTTATGTCATTTTTCAAGTAGCATTATTTTCAACGGAAGATCCAAATTAGGTTCTGGTAGATAGATGTGCAATATTTTCCAAGGTAACGAAACTTCAAGTGCCGATGCATCCATAACAAATGAAGACACAAGGAAGGATCCAGAGACGTTCAAAAAGAGAGGTTGTAACAGCATAGGTTGGTTGGTTAAGAGTTGACCTCAATCAACCAAGCATATGCCAAAACTGTGCGGGCCAAGTATTCATTCACTTCCTTATTTTGCATAGGCGATATATCTCCTATTATATTATATTGAATGTTGAGAGGCTTTAATTGTCTGAACAAATAATCCCACGCTCCACTGTGACTGCGCGAAGATCGAAATAAAGACCTATTCACTACTTGTCTGGTCTCTTCTATCAATAGCACGAGGGTTACCAATAGGTAATGTCACTTAAATACGACTATCTCTTACAGATTGCTAGGTACTTTAAACTTTGTAAAATAACCCCATACTAGTGAATTCACAGCTTCTGAAAATCCACCCTGTTTCAAGACTTTAACTGAAGTATTGTGTTTATCTCCATGTTTAGTGAACTTTTGACTTATTGCTCCCGATCGTGTGGTAGAAGAAAAAATGCAGTGTGTCAAACTCACAGATGAGAATATGACCACCTAATTTATAAACAGAAAATAATCATGTCTTTCTCTACAATAATTGCGATACAAATATGGGTAAAGAGCACTTTGCAATTAGGTCATCATAGTCCATTTAAGCATGTAATCTAGCCACAGAGACTTACAATTACTAAATACCTTAATCCTTTCTATAAGGTTTATTCAACGTATACTTATTTAACTAACCTCAATAGCCCAATCGACTGCACTTCCAAGTTCGAAGCAAGTAGCAGATGATGCGAAATGAGGAAACATAGTACTCATGTCTTGTAGGAAGTGTTGAATTGCCGAATTTTCGTCATCTGCCAGTCTGCTAACTACCTATGAAGCAATAACTCTTAGGAACTTCTTACGTTTTCGATCTCAGCAATAAACTTCAAAGCATTTTTAATATACTCCGGGGTCCATCTTTTGACGACGAACTGGGTCGTAGCTTGGAGAAAATGAACAAGTTTACAAAGTAAGATAGTTATTTGGCCATCCGTGTTTTCCATTGCAGATACTGAGGTGCAACAATAAGCAGCGTTATGCAACTAATTTCTCGATGTGATCATCCTTACTACCAAATGGCCTTCAGATTTGAATGCAGCTCATTAAAACTGAATATGAGCTGTGATAACTTTAAACCAGATGCCAGCTACTGTTGATTTATAACCACCGATGCGGTTATTGCGAGACTGTAGGTCTTAAAGGCGTTACTGCCGGACTCTCAGTTGTGATATCTCGAGAAGCCGCCTCGAAGCTATAATAGTAATCACTTAATAATTTTCCAGCAATCTACGAAATCAAAAACAATCAGAAATAGGCCTTCTTATCCAAATAATAAGCGAACAAAATAAGCGTATAAGGGCTTGCAAAGTGTATGTCATCATGCACATGTTACAAGAGATTCTGTGAATACTTTGTGAGTCTTAATAACCACCACTTGACAAACAAACATGCCTGATCATTTCGCAAAGAGGATCTATGTTTCACAATGCCTGAAGACCACTCACCCGACTAGTCGAAGTAATTTTCTAGTGTTTTTGAATCAGGTTCGGTTAAATACAACTTGAAAGGCCAATTACTTGTGATTTTATGTTGAGTGGATATGAAACTTTTGACGTCATAACTCCAGTTACAAGCTCAGTGTGAATGACCGCTATGTATGCATCGATAAACCGAGAAGGCCATTTCAAATATCTGTTGATTCCTCGTTTAATATTATTACAGCTGTAAAGTGCATCACTAACATTGACATATCTGTATTACTTATTTAGTATTCTCAATGTTGGATGTTATATCCAGAAAACTGAACATTTAGGTGGATAACCACCGATAAAACATACTCTTGGAGACTGACAGTGATTGTGAATACACTGGTATTCATTCCGATACAGTAGATCAACGTTCAGAACAACAGATTAATATCACATATACTGACATTCTAGAGGTGGCTATCTAATTTAGTGGAACCTGATCACAGCTGAATCAGAAGATGCAAAGAACCCCTGTAATAAAGTGATGATTTATTTAGATAATTGAAATATATTGGACTCTTTTAAGGCAAACAGATGCAAAATACTTTCACCTAGGGATTTCCCCAGGCTGAAAATAGGTTATCCGACTCAGTTTTTCCACTTTTTCCACGAGATCATACGATGGAACCAACCACAGATTCATCTGCTTGAGACTTATGACACAGGGAACTGGCTGACAGGATTCGAAATTGTGTTTTGTAAATATAAGTCCACATGAGACTTCGGAATACTTAACAAATATTACGATCACGTAGCATCAGTTATAATCGTAGTTGTCACTGTGAGTGACGGCTGAGGTGTGTTCGAAATTTCGTATTTCCTGGCAGACAATAGACAATTTCATGTGTGTTCCATACGCAGTGTCTCAATCAAAGGACAGACACATCGAGATAAAATGTCGATCTTCAGTCACAGTGTTAGATCCAAACTAAGGTTTGAACTGAAGAATAGCAGTCTGGGTGGGCTAGATACGCGCACTTGCCTGGTTGTAACCAAAACAAAGTGATTGGGTTAAATGGCGGTTCTAGAATTCATAAATTTAAATGTACATTATTACCTAAACAAATACGACCACTCAGCTACTCAACCAATAACTGTTCGATTAATTAAATCTAAATTACGACAAATAAGGAGGTTGATAAAGGATGCGAGAAAATTACCAATCGCAACAAACAAATGCTCTTCTATCCTGTCTGGATAGACTAAGAACAGATTCGTTCAAGAGAAAATGTTTGGTTGCTTTATAACACATAGTGTTTCCAATTCTTTAAGAGTGTCTCAATTCACAATAAAAATGCACAATTTCAGTCAACACGAGCAACACAATCAAAGGGAGGAACAAACCAAAATGGCTAACGCCAAGACTAAGCATCAGATAAAACAACCTATATACAGTTCAGGAAGAAACACGGAAACTAAGTGAACATTTAAGAAAAATAGAAACTATAATAAAATACAAATATTAACAACTCAAATGGAATCAAAAAGACTGACAAAATGTACAACTAAAGGAATCAATAGGAACAGAGTGCAAATGTATGCATGAAGGGATTTTCACACACAAAACATACAAAATCGATCTTACACACAGTATCCACCATTTGTCACAAATATTCGATTTTCACGGAATTTCCGAAGTAGCAAACAATGAAGATGGAAACCGGTGGATCGAATTTAGGGATTACAAACAAACGAGGTTCAAAGTTTGAGTAAAACAAATATACTGGGAAACCGGAAAAAAATGGTGATATTCAAAATAATAAATTGTTGTCTCAGGAATGCTCTGAGTAAGTAAAGCTTGGTGTTAACAACACAGCCAATGCTAAAAAATATAGTCAGGAACACATATTGTTATCGTTGGTCTTGTAATTGGGGCTAATTTTCTTGCACTTACTCAGCCAAACACAGAGTGGTTTTAAAACATTCCACTAGAGCTTTGGGACTGAAATGAAAAAACGGCATTCGTCAACTTGTTAATGTTTCCAGACGAAGAACACAAATATAATGTAACTACCTGAGCCATGTATTCTCAACTCTAAGTTATAGTATTTTGTGTCCTGGCCCTCTGTATTGCGGCTAGCAGAAATACCGTGATGCTTCTAACTTTGTAAAATCAAACCTAGCTAACTGATTTAAGAAATATTAGACATACTAAATGGAAACATAGAGTGACTTTGCCGTAGAATTTCATCAAACTATCCCGCAACATAATTGATCTTAACTGCGTTGAATCGCTACGTTAGTAACCGAGTTCATAGATCGATTTGGTGGAAAATGTTGGGGATATTCATATCGCACATTTACGTGGAATATAGAGGAGGTGGATTGTGGACATAAGGTATGGCACTGTAGCTAGGAAGATGATTGATATAATGTAGCTCCATAATGAGAGGTTGCTGTAGTCAGTTTAGTGGATACCATTTACAAAAACATTTCAGAGACAATTAAAACGATGAAGTTGGATTAAATAAATTTTAGGATGTTTTTTGGATACCAATTTACCTTACAATAGAGTGTTTTTTAGTCGTCTTCCGAGAACTACAACGGAACCTCAAGAGTCACTACTGAAGCCGAACAGTTCTGATCCGATCAGAACATTATGCGGATTTCTAGATTATCGACGTGGCATTCTTTCATTGGATAATAGCATAATGTGTCTCTTTGCAGATTGGCTGAAATATAATGTTGATTTAACAAATGCTAATATCTAACTGTACATTTCATTTTTTTCTAAATAAACACTTCTCCAGCTTTTCTTCTGTCTTCTGATTTGTGACGGTGAATTTCTAACGTTTGAGTGTCGTAGTCGTTAACCGTATTATGCGTTAACCAAGTAGCTTACTTAACAGTTTTCCTATAAAACTTTTCAACGTATAAAAGCTTGAAAATTCGGGTTTTACTAGCATCATTCAGATTCTCATGCACCGAAAATTACCTCCTGTTTCCATGACCATTTCATCCTATTTGTGGTTTCCAAACTAAAGCATTCTAGAATCAGGAATAACGGTCTTGGTTAATTTAAAGACGCGCTATACCCTAGTTGAAACCAAAACGAAGTAATTGAGTAAATTGCGATTCTAAATTTCATTATAAACTTAGATGTACATTATTACCTCAACAAATATTACCGTCTAGTTTTTCAACTAACGGTTGTTCTATTATAAATCAAATGTAGATTACACTAAGTGGATAAATTGATAAAGAATATAAATGAATTACCAAGTCCATTTGACAAATGCTCCTATAAAAACATGAATGTTATTTTACCGTTTCTGGATAGGTCATGTACAGATTGTTCGAAAGATATGTAATTATGTCATAATACTACTTTCAGTTATGGAAGAGAGTTTCGATTGTAAATCGAAACTACGTAATAAAAAAGGAAAGCGGATCAATGTAGAAGCCGCCTTAACCAGGTCCTAACTAGAACAACGTAGAAGCGGTTCAAAAAGCAAGTAAAGTTTGTGGAAATGTAATAAAAACAAAAAATATGATTAAATATAAATAAATCCATTTCGAATAGGACCAAAAGGCTAATAACCCTATTTCTAGACTCCAAAGAGCTTCAACATTTCCTTGAACTCCCGCCCACCAATGAGGCACTTTATTACGGACCGCCTAGTATCTAGAAAGAACAAAATTATAACAAGTCCGACTGTTACTAATATGAATATAACCAAATCACAGAACATATGGCTTATCCTTTCCTATTATTCATTGTTTATTAATCATGACTTCATGCTCCTAACCCTAGCTTTCAGTTCCCAAATCTCTACAGGTTAAATGTACATTATTCTCCCTAAAAGTCATGCCTTTTTTTTATTCCACTGCAAGTAGACAGATAGCTCAATCTTATGAATGCTGATCTACTAAGGCCGACCATTCAAAGTTCAAAATTTGGCCACAACGTCTTGTGAGTTTCTCAATGTTTTATTTGTCTTACCCTGAAATTTTTTTTTCTACGATTTTATACCCTCTCATATCTTTTGATTTGCTATTAGTCCTTACTTCTTTAAACCATTAGTTATTTTCATAGCAGTGTGATATACTATGTGGACATCTAACCCATAAAACAAGTTTTTTAACTATCTGATTTGCTTGTAACATGGACCTAGTAGAGACAGTGTATTCCAACTATGGGCTTTGATGAAAGCAATATTCATACTTACCACAAACGTAAGAGAGCCTAACATCACAAAAGGAGGGAGGGTGGCGTTACTGACCAGCAAACATGAAGGTGGGGAGATAACTTCAATCCACCCATGTCTGTAGGGCAGAACATTTTGTTTAATTACGGCTCCTTATGGTTTAGTGGGATGCCACGAACTTATGGTATTGAAGCTGATCTATTCACGCAAAATACCTCTTTAAGTCGTGTTACGAACGTTGAATTGGTTTCACTTCCTACCTAGAAATCCTATTACAAGCAAACTAGACGATTCGCTAATATACGAAGCCTAATCAAGACCCTATAA